GCAAGTATTTGCCCTGGACGTAGCACTGAATAACTTGTCAGGGTTGAAACGTGTCTCTGAAAAGGAGATTTCCTGGTGTTCAGCATTTTTTAGAACGTCCTAGATTCTGCGTTTTTTCTAGTGACATGCTCCATGATTTCGTTTGAGTTTGCTGCGTGGCATCCCTTTCAAAGCTACTCATCCTACCGGGTGGCATTTAGACCTAGCCAGGTGTTTCTTACCTATTCCACCCCTCTCTCTCATCGCTAGATAGACATTGTATTGTTCATCTCCCGTCTCCCTTTCCCTCCTCGCCCTTCCCACATTCTTTCCCTTTCTTTCTCTCTGACTTTCTCCTTCCTGTCCACGTCCGCCAGCCGCATAGTCAGGATGTACTCCGGGAACGGGAAAATCGTTTTCCTCAGGTGACAGCGACGCTAACCCAGCCGAAGTCGTTGCTATCACAAATTACTCAGTTCATTGTTTTTTTGTACCTCACAAAGCATGGCAAGATCCAAAATCAAGGAGGTTTTTGTGTTTTACATCCATGCCTGAAGATGTAGATATAGTTTTGCACACGATTGTTCCGTTTTCCAACAACTTGATCAGGAAATGAAAGCCCTAGGTCAGCGCTCGCTCAACCGATACGCCTCCTTAATGTATCTGTACATAGTGGTAACATTGTCGCAGAGTGGCTGACTGCGTAAGTAGTCTGGCTATTACCAGCCGACTGGCAACTGAGCTCGGAACTTCTGCGACCTGCAGGGTGATGCAAGCACCATGGATCAATCTGGCTTGTTCCATGTCGTCACAAAATTTCTTTGATCGGGGTTCCTGGCTGTTTTTATAGTATATATGTTGTACCATGGGTATTTTTTCAAAGTGTTGCTGATTGTGTATTAGACCTGTTGAAATCTGTCCTTTGCTCGGATTTTGATTCTGGCTTGTTATTTTGCTCATTGTTCATCCTAGCCAATTTTGCTCATTGTTAGAATGCGTGTGGTAATAATAGAATCGTTCAAATCTATCTTTGATTCAAATTCTCAGTCGACCCAAGGCAGATTAACGGGGCAAGCTAAATTCCTGTTTATTTGTTAGGCTATTGATTACTTATTGATTGCTTTGGACGATGCTTGATGCATCCGAATTCGCCTTGATTCGTGGTACGCTTTTCATCATAAATGGAATCAAGCACAAGTCTGCAAGTTGTGCTGCAATGTCGGTGCCTGGCTGCAGCACAGGAACACTGTGGCTGCTGCTCGGCACAGGCTGCTCGGTGCTGTCACAGGCTTGACTTTCAGCGCCACACATTCAGAGGTTATTTGAGTGCTCGTGGCCACAAAGCTTCGCTGGTTCTGTCGCACAGCATTCTGATATCCCCAAATATTATTTGCATGCGCTATGATATGAAGCTTGACACTGACCAGGTTGTGCAACGCAACCCTTAGTCCCACACAAGTTATCGGGTGCACTGTTCATCCACTGCCACTGGCCTGCAGCGTGGAAGGATCTTGACTCGCGTCTCCAGTTGGCCCGGTTTCAGGGAACCTCTGGACCGAGATGTCTCATGGCTGCCCACTCGGAAGCACTAGGGCAGTAGCCAAGACTTGCCATAGCTCCCGGTCTCTGCAAGCAACGAATGAATGTCTGAGCTGTCCGCAAGAGGCGCATCACAGCTGCCCCGTCCCGGTGGGCCAGTCGCAGACCTGCCCCGTCCCGGTGGACCAGTCGCAGAGCTGCCCCGTCCCGGTGGACCAGTCGCAGAGCTGCCCCGTCCCGGTGGACCAGTCGCAAAGCTGCTCCGTCCCGGTGAACGAGTCGCAGAGCTGCCCCGTCCCGGTGGACCGGTCGCAGAGCTGCCCCGTCCCGGTGGACGAGTCGCAGAGCTGCCCCGTCCCGGTGGACCAGTCGCAGAGCTGGCCCGTCCCGGTGGACCGATCGCAGAGCTGCCCCGTCCCGGTGGACCAGTCGCAGAGCGGCCCTGTCCCGGTGGACCAGTCGCAAAGCTGCTCCGTCCCGGTGGACCAGTCACAGAGCTGCCCCGTCCCGGTGGACCAGTCGCAGAGCTGCTCCGTCCCGGTGGACCAGTCGCTCCAGAGCTGCTCCGTCCCGGTGGACCAGTCACAGAGCTGCCCTGTCGGGTGGATCAGTGGCCGGACTGGTCCCGGGCAGGAATGATTGCTCGTCGCATGGCCATTCCAGTGCCGGCCCACAATAAAGCATGCCGTTTTTGTGGTGCGCCCCGCGCCGGCACAGCTATGTGAGGCACGCTGCCGGCCGAGCCGCCGCCGCCGCCGCTCGGAGGCCGGGCCGACAGTGTTAGCCCGTGTCGGCCGCGTCTGGTCCGGGACTCGGCCGCGGCCGCCCGGAGGCCGGGCCGACATTGTTAGCCCGTGTCGGCCGCGCCTGGTCCGGGACTCGGCCGCCGCCGCCCGGAGGCCGGGCCGACAGTGTTAGCCCGTGTCGGCCGCGTCTAGTCCGGGACTCGGCAGCGGCCGCCCGGAGGCCGGGTTGACAGTGTTAGCCCGTGTCGGCCGCGTCTAGTCCGGGACTCGGCAGCGGCCGCCCGGAGGCCGGGCCGACAGTGTTAGCCCGTGTCGGCCGCGTCTGGTCCGGGACTCGGCCGCCGCCGCCCGGAGGCCGGGTCGGCAGTGTTAGCCCATGTTGGCCGCGTCTGGTCCGGGACTCGGCCACCGCGATCCGCTGCTGCACGTGGTCCGCGGTGCACCGGGCCACCATGAGGGCAGCCGGTTTGGCGCTAGAAAATTGCGGCGGTTGACGTTTTCGACAAATGAATTTCGAATGTCATCACGAGACAATCGGAGGCAACACTGAATCGTAACATGAGACATTATGCTTCTATTGTTCACGTCGAAAAAACATTGGAAACAGGGGTTAGTGTTGGAGCCGTGATTGCTGCCTGGGAGCTAGGAACATGTTTAGTGTATTTTTGATGTTAGCTTAGCATGCAATGATGCATATTTTCACGTAAAACATGTGCGCTCCTATAATCGTGGTTCACGACCGGAAGTGCATTTTGCTGATGAGCCACTGGACACGCACTTAACAATGTCACACAGGGTAATGGCTTTCGGTGTTTTGTACCGCGTACGTGCATCAACAAAACTGAGCTCTTCGCAACGTCGATGGCCAAATTTATGGAGCTACTTGATCCATGTTTTTTTTTAAATAGTGAGTGTTCCGCAAATGGCTTATCGCGTGATGACTTTACCCGCATTGCAATTGGTGCGTTCGGGCGGTAGCTGAGCAGCCTTTTGTACGTGCAAATACCGCCCGCTGTTAAAGCTCATGCGACCGTGCGCTTCGGGAGTGAATGGATGTCAATGAAATGAAGGTTTCCTGGTTTATTCAATGCGGCAATTTCCTCATTCCCATTTACCCGCGCTCAAAGCTTCTGAATCCAGGTATTTAGCAAAGTTGCTTCATAAGGTTCTCAGCACATAATTGCTTTACCGTGGCGTTTGTCATCCGCTGTGGCGTTCGCCGAGGATAGCGGGCGCAGCAAAGGCAGCGGTTAATGGACCACGCACGTGTTGCTCTGCTTCTAAACACACGCTGCCGGTGTGTCTAGTGTGCGGGGAAGGGGGGGGGGGGGGGCTGAGGCCCAAGTCCGTCCCTGGACGTGGTCTGGCTCCCGTGGAGTCAAGCCGTTTGAAGGCTTTGGTGCCCAGTTAACCGGTGTGCGTCCTACGTCACCACTGCCCCCCCCCCCTGGTCGAGGGTCCTGATCGGTCGTCCTGGTCGAGGGTCCTGGTAGAGGGTCCGGGTCAAAGGTCCTGGTCGAGGGCCCCGGTCGATGGTCCTAGTCGAGAGTTCTGGCACTAAGAGGAGCACCCCACAGGTGTATGCCACCCCACCATGGATGTCCCGTTGGTTTCTGTCAAGTCCTTGGTTCGTTGTCACACACGATTAAACCAATCAAACGATGTATTCTTCTCTGGGTACGTGCACACCGCGCCGACTTGGCGCATCGACACTCACGACAAGGTTGCCGTAATCGGCATATCGAACGGCAGGATGGGCTGCCCACACGTGACGTCACTAAGCCCGAGTGCGAACGCCACAGTTTCAGGGGTTGTCTCACCTCTCATAATGCATGCTCAACAATAACGTTGCCACGGAACGTCATAAAGAAGTCTGCCTTCCAGTGCGCGCTGGAAAGAGTGCCGCGTGCACGCCATGGCACGACTTGAACCTTTGGAGTGCCCGGAAAACTCAGGGGTTTTTTTCGGAAGCATTACCACCCAACAGCGGCACCCACTCGGCCCAGTGGACTTTTGGGCTAGCACGCACGGGCAAATTTGTGTAATGTACATTCAATGTACAATGGGTCAATCGGGCTTGGCACAGAACATCGCAGCCAGTCTACAGCCTGCCTGCTTTGCATTTTAGTGACAATCAAATTCAGAGCTCTCCCCAGCTACGAGCATTCGGCCCTGCGCAGGAGACGAGTTTCGTGGGCTAGCCACACGTAGCTTCACTTTCGTATCCAGCTTGATTATGCCGTTAGGTTTGGTGGTAGCGGTTTTTCAATGATATTTCAAGTATTTTTCCTCTATAATATTGCGATATCGTGGAAGCGATATCCGCGAAGTTGAGTAATATTCAGAAGATGAAGTTTGTTTCTCGCACATATGGAAGAAATAAGTGTGCAACAGGCGCTTTTGAAAACGTACAGGTGTCGCGAATGTACGTGTCTTTGCTATAATGCTACCATGAAGACCGATCTGTGAGATGGCGTACGGAAGCGGTTCACCTCCCTGCTTAGCCTGAATTTGTAAAAATATAATGACATGCGGCAAATGGAAAACTTGGTCAAAACGGCGAATACCTGTGGTGCGGGTGAACCAGTCACCGCCTGGGAGAGCCTGATGTCCTTGTTAGCCCGGCTTCCGCGTGCCGATGCGGCTGACGTACTGTTGCAGGGCTGCCTGACGTGGCGTGACGTGACGTATGCTGGCGGGGTACGTGGCGTGACGGCGCGGCCGTCTCTGTTTCAGGTCTCCGTGCGTGGCGACGCGGGCCGCTGGGCCGTCTGCTGCTGGCTGTGCGCGACGGCGGTAAGTGGGAGTGACGCTCGTCGCGGGGTGCGATGTGACACCTGCCAGCCGTGGCGTCGCGTGACGGCCCACCGGCGTGACACTGAGCTGAGCTGCGCGCCAGTGGCCACGTCTGATACTGCCTGCCATCGGCCGCCTCTGTCGGCTCGACTCAGACACCACAAAGCCGGCATCGCGGGATGTTGCGGCCGCCGCCAGTGCGGTTGGGCCGCCTCCCGGGTCAGATTTCACGCCTGGCGGGACGCCCGGCCTGTCCCACACGGATGAGGCAGTCTTCCCAACCGCACGCTATGTTTCATAAGACCCCTCGCTGCTGCTCTCAGCTTGACTAGCCGGGGTCCTGTGGCATTAGGTCTAAGCGCACCCCGAATGTTCTGCCTGCGGCGAAATGGGCCATGGTGACTCGGTAACCAGGGATCTGGACGAGGCCGCTAGGTGCATCTGAAAGGGCACGAACCGCCAGAATTCCCAGACAGTGCATGATCTGCCCTGTCCAGGGTCTCAGATGGGCCCGCCGACCCTCTGGACCGCCAGACAGGCGCCATGTATCTGATGCGGACTCCCAGACGGCCGCCGCTGTATGTGCGGAGTGTCCGATGCGGACTCCCAGACGGCCGCCGCTGTATGTGCGGAGTGTCCAATGCGGAATCCCAGACGGCCGCCGCCGCCTGTGTGGAGTGTCCGATGCGGACTCCCAGACGGCCGCCGCCGCCTGTACGGACTTGCAGGCAGCGCGCCGAACGTCCCGTCCGATCCCGCGGCCGGGACCGCGCACCGTCGACGCGACTCGCGGCTGTCAGCCTTGAATCACGACAGAGGCTGATCACACTGAGCCGACGCCAGCAGCCCGTTTTTTTTCGGGAGCGAGCAAACTGGTGCGCTTAATACCGGGATTGAAACCGGAGTGGGAGTGTCCACCTGCGAGCGGTCAGAGTTGTGTTTCTACCTGTTCGGAAGGTAGCCAAGGATGTGGAAAACTGGGGTTTTGTTCCCGGAGAAGTTTTTGCATTCTATGTAACAGGAGCAAAGTCCCGCCTGCGTACGAGGTGCTACCGGTTTTGGTCGAACGTCTGTCGCTCAAGTTCAAGGTTCGGACCACTTAAACGTCTCGTGGACGCACTAAAGTATCTTTGTCCGATGATTTAAGTAATTTACCAAAGGCAGAAGTCCATGGCTGCACTCTTGCAGCATAGCCACCACTGGCCGCCGGTTGACAGTCACTTATTAGTCACCGCTGGATAGCAGGAAGTCACCAGTGACAAAACGTTCGTGATTCGGAAGAAGCGATGTGTTTCCCGCAGCTTCATGTCGCAGAGCGTCAGTCCTGTCCATCAGCTGTATGGGACGATGGAGTCACACGGTGTTAGCTCACTATTTGTGGTCGGTTGCCGGTGTTAAAACGCCATGGTTTTTGAAATGCCAATGAAATAGGGCCCAATTAGTTTGGCTGTCATGCGTTGGATCTCAATGGACGATGGATGCCACTTTGAGGAGATGGCGAATCAGAGCGGTTACCTGCTCCCCCCCCCCCCACGAGCGACGACCCCCACCCGACTTAACGGCACGGTCGGAGTCGTGCGCCGCCGCGTACAGCATGATGCGGTCAGACCCTACTCCATTCATCCCACAGTCCACCAGCGCATAAGCTGTCACAGTCCCTCGGAATCAGCTGGTGATGCGGCACTGCGCAATGACCTCCGACGCTGGGCAGCCGTATGGCGGCGGCCTCCGCTGCTCCCAGTGGCGGCTGTACATGGCGCCGCCGCCGCCGACGCCGACGCCGAGCGTCACTTGAGCGGCGCCGCGGCGCGGACGGGTCGGGTCAGCGGCGGCTCCGCCCGTCGACCAATCGCGGCGCGCTCCGCCCACCAATGGCGCGCGCCGCGCCGGCTCAACCGGCGCGCAGTGAGGCGGCGCGCTGCAGGCCGGCTGGCGGCAGTCTGGCAGCAGTCCGCCAGGCCAGGTATGCGGCGAGCGCCGTCATCGCCGCGTCAGCCGCGTGGCTCAGTGACGGTCGCGGCGTGGTGGCGTCATCGCGCCGCGTGGCTCAGTGACGGTCGCGGCGTGGTGGCGTCATTGCACCGCGTGGCTCAGTGACGGTCGCGGCGTGGTGGCGTCATCGCGCCGCGCGGCTCAGTGACGGTCGCGGCGTGGTGGCGTCATCGCGCCGCGCGGCTCAGTGCTGGTCGCGGCGTGGTGGCGTCATCGCACCGCGCGACTCAGTGATGGTCGCGGCGTGGTGGCGTCATTGCGCCGCTCGGCTCAGTGACGGTCGCGGCGTGATGGCGTCATCGCGCCTCTCGGCTCAGTGATGGTCACGGCGTGGTGGCGTCATTGCGCCGCGCGGCTCAGTGACGGTCGCGGCGTGGTGGCGTCATTGCGCCGCGCGGCTCAGTGACGGTCGCGGCGTGGTGGCGTCATCGCGCCGTGCGGCTCAGTGACGGTCGCGGCGTGGTGGCGTGGTGCGTGCGCCCTTGCTGTAGGCCCGAGGATTTGCATTTGCAACGCGCGTTGCAGGCCCAGCCGTGACTTGTTCGGATAGGGTTTGCTATGTGGACAGGGGTCTACAAGCTAACCTAGTGGCCCGTGGGTTATGCGGTGGACAGTTGCAGTGCAACAATGAAGCAACTCACTATGACTCAGTTTTGCTGTGTCGCTCCGACAATGGCAGGAAATGCTCTTCTTAATTACACAATTTTTCTATGACTTGCATTTTTATGAGATGTTTGGACAGCGTTTCTGGATTTTTACTTTTTCGTATGATAAATCTTCGCTCCGTTTGAGTGCTTACATATAAGTGATCATTCATCGCTTATTTTCAAGTAAGTTCTCAGTGCGGTAGAGGTCTTGATTGCCAACTTGTTAACTAGCCCCCAGGACGACGAAGCGTGGACCTACATCCTCTGTAAATTGTTGGGGGGGGGGGGGGGGTAATTAAACACACAGTGCTGCACAGTTCGTGGGTTCAACCTGGTCCTTTGGTTGTTGTTCCTTGTCTCCTGTCGTGGATTGAACCTGGTCCTTCGGTTCTTGATCCTGTTTTCACACTCTGGTGAACTTGTTCAATTGGTTGTCGGTCCCCGTCTTCACACGTTTGTTTGCCCGGGCCTTTTGGTTGTCGTTCTTTGTCTTAACACGCTCAGAGTGGCCGCTGTGAGACCCTGGCCAGGTAGTGTCGGTCCCACAGGTATTCCGTTTTACCCATCGTCTTCCGTGGAGCAGTGGACGATCTGAACCCACGTTTTGGCTGCTTGCGGCACCGTCGGGCCTTCCTTTGTGCAGACATGCGCTTAGCTGTGCGGAACAGTGCTGCTGTTGATAACAGCCATGGTGGCCGGCGGATTGGTGTCGGATTTTACCTGGTCCACAGCAGTTTTAATGCGATTAACTTGGAGGCCTTGAGCGGCAATGCGTGCGGAAGCGCCGGCATTATGTCGAGGCTGGGGGAGCGAAGGGGGCAGCGTTGTCTTACGAATAGTCTATCGCGTGGGCAATAACACACACTGCCAACGAATGACACCCCCCCCCCCCCCCTCCGTATGGTGCAGTTTAACAATAGCACGCTTTTAATAACGAGCTAAGACACACGCATGCTCCGCCGGCGAGCGAAGGCTTATGTGAGCAGCCGGTACGGCCTGCTCGCGGTATCTTTTGCTGATCAGTTAATGTATTCGCAACCACTGATCTCTTTCGTTTTGGCAATAAGAGGCGTAATTCCTTAAAAGCTGTACCGGATGAGTTGCACAGCAGCCATTTGATCGGTCGTGATTTGGGTGCAATTACGTGATTTGAATAGTATGCCTCATGTCCTTCGATTAACAGAAGCGTAGAATATGTTAGTTGCGAAACGTTTGCAGAACAAACTGCCGTTTCGTGATAGCGGCAAAACGGCTTGGCAGCGACACGAGACCTACACTGCTGGGGTGTGACTGGGCGCTCAGACTGACCGATGCCGGTCATGTAGCCGGTCACGCTCGGTCAGACACAAACCACGGGGCCGCCCGTTTGAAAGCGTTTTTTAGGCGGTATGTCAGATTTAGGCAACCAGAGCGGATAAAGCCGTCAAGAACTAGCGTGATGTAGGTTCGTGCCTTCAAATCGGCAGGCAATCCCATCACCTTTCGACCCATGCCGACACCATTGATGTTCAAGAAACAGGCAACGTCGTCGTTTTAAACTACTTTGGAATTCACGTTCCTATGACTGAGACCGAGGGGGATTTGGCCACAAAAACACACAAGCCATGTCACTATAAACAACGACAAACTACGTCTTTCTTGAATCCGCATCTGCATCGTGACTTGTTTGGGATGTTGCCTGTCCAATCGGTTTGTGCATCATTAAGAAGTCGGACAAATAGGTGAACCAGAAAAGCTTCCGGCCCGTACGCCGTGTAAACGTGCCAGGCAGTGTTATCGCATTGAAACTGCTGTAAACGTTACGTGTAAACGTAAATGTTTGCTTTGCGCTGTGAAATTGCCCTTAAACGTTTAGCGCAGCACAGTGAGCGTTATCCACCTAAACGTGAATGCGTTTCCAGAATACTTGGACCATTGGTCACCAAAGATGCAATCATTTGACTCTCTTAGAATTCGTAGGCCATAGTGAGCAGACGTGTCCAGTGCCAAACCCAGCCGATTCCCAGCAATGCGTGCTCTAAATAGCGTGCAATCGCTGCATTGGTGAGCCCATGGCTACTCAGTCTATGGTGAACTTCTGTCTGCCAAACTTTCACGAAAGAGCATTGCAATGCGCTAAATGGATTGATTGGCCGTTCTGAAAAGGCATCTGAGTTTCAAATGTATAATCACGGTAAATAATAATGTATGTACAGGTTATCGTGACAAACAAGATTGGGCACTATTTTATGCATTATTCAATCTAAGGTGGTATTTATTCTATAACGTTCTGAGCTTTCCCCTAAGCGGGTAAAGGTGTTTAGAAATAGCTGTTCGGAATGTACAATTATTCCATGCACAACACTTCGTCGTTGTCAAAACCTATTTCAAAATATCCTTAGTTAAGATATTGAAAATGCTAGTTTATTATTAGTGGTGTTTTTTATTATCAACTTTAAACGTTGTCTCCTTTTGATTCAATTTTTGTCTCAAACAATGTGCCTATCCTGGAACATAGGAGCATAGGCAGCTGTTTCGAAGCTTGCTTTTTACGTTCTTCGAGGAGGCGAAAAAACAGTGCATTGGGGTACCACGCTCAACTATTGTTTCTTACACAAGTACTAAGAGCATGCGTAATTCAATTCAGTGCAGATGTCCAGAGCACATGATTCGTTGCATACTTTCCTGTTGAACTTTCATACATGACATTCAAGCTTCATTCGGGCTTCCAGGCACGAGGCACACCAGGCATTTAATTGCGTTTCAGGCATTCATTCCCTTATTTCAGCTACGATTATAGCCACCACTCCCGATAGCGCGTCTGGTACAGTGCCAAGAGAAATACATGAGGTTTGGTTCAACTTTATGATCCATGGTGTGTATTAACCTTTTTATTTCTGATTGTGGCACTACATCATGACTTTAACCCGTCGTGAGGAACCAGCACAGGGATTAAACACGGCTGACAAACAGAACGCGTCTGAGGGTGACGCCTGTCGGGGATTTCCTTCGCCGAACTTATTTGAAGGCTGCCACGGCCAACATGTGATTAGAAAATTCTGAATGTTTCGGATGCATCGTATTTCTTGAGCTTGGGAGGATTCCATGGTGGTGAGGATGGGAGGATTCAGCTGTGAGTTGAACGACCCGCGTCCGTCCAACTGGACGCCGGGGCTTGTCGCCGCTTGGCTTGTCGCACGGAGTTCGCGCCAGACTCGCGCCAGCCTCACGATCCCGTGATGGAACTCCCAGGCGACAAGTGTCGGTGCTGTGCGGCGAGTTTCCCACGGCAGACCGCTGACGGCGCCCGGCGTCGTCCGCACGTGTCCCATGTGGTGCAGGGACGATTGGCTGGTGCTGCTGGCCGGCCGCAGTCGGGCGCTGAGCTGCTGAGCGGCGACCGCTCCCGTTCAGCTGAGTAGCCAGCTATGTGACGGCCAGCGGCGTACGTGGCTCGGCACAGGCATTCGTGCTCCCTGCGGGGGCCCGACGCGAACTCGGCAGACCAGTAAGCTGTCCAGGCTTTACGAGCTCGTGAAGCTCGTCGGAAATATGTTTGTGATTGCGCTGTTGTTTGACTGGCTATGTCAAGCCTGACGCGAAGTGCATGCCGTAAGCTGAAAAGATCAAATAAAGACAACCGACCAAACGTTATTGAATGCTAGTTGCCATTTGGCTAGCCGACTTGGTGGGACGGTACACCCCCACCCCACCCCCATCCCGCACCGCTGGTGCGGCCAATGCTCCCCTGCCAGTGCCGGTGGTGCACCATGCTGGTGCCAGCGGTGCTCCCCCGCTGGTGCCTGCGGTGCTCCCTGCTGGTGTCGGTGGTGCTCCCTGCTGGTGTCGCCGGTGCTCCCCCGCTGGTGCCGGTGGTGCTCCCCTGCTGGTACCGGCGGTGCTCCTTCGCTGGTACCGGCGGTGCTTCCCGCTGGTGCCGGTGGTGCTCCCATGCTGGTACCGGCGGTGCTCCCCCGCTGGTACCGGTGGTGCTCCCTGCTGGTGTCGCTGGTGCTCCCCCGCTGGTGTCGCTGGTGCTCCCACGCCGGTGCCTGGGGTGCTCCCTACTGGTGTCGCCGTTGCTCCCCCGCTGGTGCCGTTGGTGCTCCCTGCTGGTGTCGCCGGTGCTCCCCCGCTGGTGCCGCTGGTGCTCCCCTGCTGGCGTCGCCGGTGCTCCCCCGCCGGTACCGGCGGTGCTCCCTGTTGGTGCCGCCGGTACTCCCCGCTGTTGCGGGTGGTGCTCCCCTGCTGGTACCGGCGGTGCTCCCCCGCTGGTATCGGCGGATGTGCCGCAGTGTCGTCGCACCGACCATGGCCCTGGCTGACGTCATCGGCACCAGCCGTGCCTGTCCCAGCATGTGGCCCTGACTGGGCCAGCGCCGAGACGGCATTCGTGAGGCGTGCTCCGCCCGTGCGGCGGCGAACGTGACGCGTCATGGGGGCGCGTCCCATTTCGCCGCCTTGGGTGTCACTGCCGGAGCGGTGCAGACCGGGCCGTTGGACCCGGCTACTGCCGCCGCCGCCGCCGCCGTCGTACAGAGGGGCCTCAAATGACGTCATAACGTCGACTTACGTTATTGCGGCTTTGCGACGACTTGTGCTGATCCAGCCGGATACACTTAAAACATTGCATAGTTGTCAACCGGGGAGCAACACAATTTGGTACGAAATATTGAGAATGTTGTGCAAGCATGTCTTGCCCCTGCACAGTTGCAATCCTTAGTGTCACCTTCAGTCGATCAGCTGATCGAGATCATCTATGTGTCCCATGTGACCTACGTGATCTACGCGCTTCGTGCTTACAACCTAGCACGCAAAATATACGCTGCCGTTTTATGGAGCTGCAGACGTTCAAAGAACCGCCGTGCTGACGCTGTCTTTAGGGTGTCTGATTCTCAGCAGTGGCAGTAATTCGTAAACAGGACAATCCTCGATCACCGATGAAACTTTATGATGATCATTTGGAAGTGGGAGAGGACAGGGCAAAATTCGACAAGAATTCAAACAACGGTTTGGTTATTCCTTCACAGCAGCCATTTGCCAGACCACTTGACGTGATCTTAGGGGGCGCGGCCCGCTTTGACCTCTGACGTGACCTCCCGGGGTCTGACTTCGCCGACATGGCATGGGCCGATTTAACCTGGCCTACCCCCAGCTGACCTGACAAAGCCGCACGCCTCTTGTTCCAATCTGACCCTCTGACACTTCCCAGCCACACGTGGTTCAGTGTAATCTCTTGCGGCCGGACACAAGCTGACTTATTTTAAGTTGACTTGACGCATGTATGATGCCACCTCGGGGTGAGCTGGCGTTCCCGGTCATACCTGACGTGGCCGTCGCTGTTGCAGCCATGCTCCGGCGCTGGGTGTATTACGCCTGCCTGGCGGCCGCCGTCGCCCTCTGCTACCATAATGCGCTGCAGTGCGACTTCGTATTCGATGATGTCAGCGCGGTCAAGGACAACCGCGACCTGCGGCCTCACACGCCGCTGACCAACCTGCTCTACAACGACTTCTGGGGCACACCCATGGAAAAGGTCAGTGACCCGGGGCAGAGAGGGGACGCAAGGTCCCCTCGTGCGAAGGTCAGTGTGGCTCACAGTATGGCTAACTGTGAGCCCCCGAGCCACCGCCAGAAGAGACCGCTCTTCGCTCACTGAGCGTCGCGGGGGTACGTATTCATCTCTCCCGGAATGCGATGCCCCACATCCGGAGGAAAGTATCTTTTTACGGCGAGCGTCATATCTCCTGCCAACCCGGCCACAAAGCGCAGACCTGCCAACTTGCCCACAAAGCGCAGACCTGCCAACCTGGCCACAAAGCGCAGACCTGCCAACCTGCCCACAAAGCGCAGACCTGCCAACCTGCCCACAAAGCGCAGACCTGCCAACCTGCCCACAAAGCGCAGACCTGCCAACCTGCCCACAAAGCGCAGACTTGCCAACCTGCCCACAAAGCGCAGACCTGCCAGCCTGCCCACAAAGCGCAGGCTTGCCAACCTGCCCACGAAGCGCAGAACCCGCGCGAAAACTAAAGTATCTCCAGTGACGGGGAGTCCTGTACCTCCCCCAGTGTTATGCTGAGTAACCACGTCCCGTCGTACCCTCTGGTGCTGTGCCCAGTAACCACGTCCCGCCGTACCCTCTAGTGCTGTGCCCAGTAACCACGTCCCGCCGTACCCTCTAGTGCTGTGCCCAGTAACCACGTCCCGCCGTACCCTCTAGTGCTGTGCCCAGTAACCACGTCCCGCCGTACCCTCTAGTGCTGTGCCCAGTAACCACGTCCCGCCGTACCCTCTGGCGCTGTGCTCAGTAACCACATCTCGATCGCTGTCTCTTCGGTTTTGCAGCAGGGCGTTCAAAACCATTGCCTCGAGGCTCGGTAGATCATCCAGACAAGAGCTGCCATCCAGTTTGTCAAATTTCAGTATTGCGAGTGAGAAGTAATACCATATATGGAGGATTTTGGGCTCACAGTTTCTGATTACTTGCGAAATTTCAGCTATCCATTCACTGATATGTTAAATTTATTGTTGATTCCGGTCTCCTTTGAGGCTTTTGCAACGCCATTTTGGTCTCATGGCACCCTTTGCTTAGACAATTTTGACACACCGCTGCCACCTTTGAGCCCACAAGTCCGCCAGAACCGGCTTAAAGTGCCTGCAAGGTCTCTGGGCGGGAGGAGCGGGGGGGGGGGGGGAGGGGATAGTGCCGGAAATGTTGCCTGTCCAGGCTGGCTGAAGTCACAAAATTGTATTGCTTGGAATCGTTAAGTTTCCTAATGTTTTTTTCAGTTGAATCGCGTTATTGAAACTGGTCAAATTACTTATTAAAAAGTAGGTTATATGGCATAAAACACGCTTATCAGCTGAGGATCGCGGTACCTTATCGCAGCGAAGTGGCGGTCAGTATTGGTAGCTGGTTCGTCACTGCTTAAACTGCTGTTGTAAATGAACGTGACGTCTTCCATTACAAATAAATCACTTGCCAAAACATAGAATAGCCAGTGATGGCAGAGCAAAAACAAAAGAGCGGATGATGTCGAGTGTCGTATGTCAGATTGCGTTGATGACCTACATATAATATGTGTGTGTAGTATCATCATACTCCAAAGAACCATAATCGTAGGTGCATATCATGATGCGATGATGATTGCAGCTTTAGGGCGCGCTGACGTCATAGATCATTTTACGACCAAGCATATCATGGTGCGTGTCCTTGATTGAATGTGTTGAAGTGAAAATTCAGGCTCAAAACAAGCATTGGTATATAACTGCATCGAAGGTAATAGAAGCCTCTATCGATAATCGCGTCTGTGTCATGTTTAGCACCTCAGCAGTGTACCAGGATTGTAAAAAGTGAACCGTAACAGGCCAGTGGGGCATAATATTGGATTACTACTCGTGTCAGTAATAAGAACATACCCTGAAAGAAGTTGATGTAATCAACCACCACAGCTGACTTAAGATGATTCCATTTATGTTTCAGATTGGCTATCTTTAGCTCAGGCGCTTTTGCGCCATTTTCGTTACCTCCATGCTTGATGTTCTTGTGTCGTTATTGCAGTTACCTGTTACGTGGTTGCTACTTTGAATCTACTTAGTTACTACATAGTTACCACATTACTACAATACATACATACATACGTTTTGTCGGGACACCTTTCCTCCAGAAACCTTTGCTAATTGGTTTGCATCGACGCCCCAATCATGGATGACTATAAGAAGCGTTCCACAGCTTCTTGACAAAAAAACGGGTACGATACAAAGCCCGCCACTGGTCCTCCCGTTATGTTAACGACTCCTGTGAAGCGCATAGCACGACGATTTTTCCGATATTTTCCGGTACGGGATTATTCGTTACTTTCCTTGCGTCGCGCCGGGTGGTATAAACCGGCTCAGCCTAGCCTTTTGCCTGGCATTAAGCCGGAAGTCGTTTCCCTCCCCCTCAGATGTAAGTCCAGGTCTGTGCAGGGTAAACACATGCATTGGCCATAGCCAAATGTGCGGTAAACCGCTGCTCTCAGATGATACGGGTAATGATCTCAGGACTCAGCCCAGTCTTTCAGCCCAATAATCATTTTTACTCTCAACACTCGCCAAGGTACGTGCCCGCTAAGTGTCCCAGGAGACATGAGGAAGATATGGTTCGTACCTTGAAGTGTAGCTTTGTGTTTTTGAAGCGCGACATTGGCTTATGCCGTACGGTATGCTTCTGGTGTGGAAGAACCGTGCAGAAGCTGCTTTCTGGCTACCCCTGTTTCATGGTCATCGGGATATTTTAGCGTATTGCACACTAGGTGGCGCATATGACGAAAGATTACACGTGTGGGCTGAAGTCGGCTTTTCAGAGAAGATGATTGCGCTTGTGGGATGGGCTTTTGAAGTTGGGCCGAGGGTGTGGCGGGTTTTCAGAACCTGAAGCAGTGAGCTGTACCCCCGAGTCGACACTGGAGGCGCAGTTGGCAGTCGCCTGAGGATCGCGACGCCGCTGCCCTCCGGCGCGCACCCCAGTGAAAGGGAAAGATATGCGGCGAACGCCAAGGCGAGCGAGCAGATAGCCATCAGCGCCCGGCATTCACTGGATACCTTTTCCGCGTACTTTTTTCCGCAGTCGTGCGTTAGGGTCTGGTGAGGGACATTTGAGCCGAGGACACTTTGTCGCAATTCACTGCAATATAAGAACAATATGTGATGCATTTCACTTCGGATGGAATTTCTGAAAAGCCTTAGTAGTTGCAACGTGACAATAAATGGTGGATTGATGCTACCTACGCAGTATCAATTGCCCCAGTGTTGAAATGCTGAAATATTGCCTATTTAGCCAGAGAGCCTATAGCCATTTGCGCCCTGAAAACTATGAGACGTTCCGCCCATCTTCACCCACCCATACAAACGCATGTGAAAGCTTGGGCTTGGTATGATAGCCGCTCCTAGCACTTGGGCTCGCTATGCACTCGGAATATTCCGGCTGCCATGTATACTCATCATGATGGGAAGATATTTTCACCACTGTTACCAAATGAACTGAGGACGCTCTCTTCCGTGCGGCGTACCTGTTGTATACCGTCACTGACTGGCATGTCTCGAGGATCCTTCGCCCCTCGCCTGGGCCGCGATCGTTCGACGACGCCATGACTGAGGGAAAACATTGTCAAGTCTTCCTCACTTCCCAACTTTCCTGTTTGAATTGTGTGACACCAGCGGCGCGTAAATTGCGGGACTGGCGAACAGTTGGCGAACCTCTTCTCTGGCGACTGCGTAGCCGGCAACCAGCTGGGGCACTCACTGTCGCCTCTCGGCACTGCACCAGACGCGACGTCGCTGGCCGTGCCGTCGGATGTGCCGCTGTTCGCCTCCGCCCTCTCCAGCCGGTCCGGCCACTGTCTGGTACTGTCCGCCTCCGCCCTCTCATGCCGGTCCGGCCGCTGTCTGGTACTGTCCGCCTCCGCCCTCTCCAGCCGGTCCGGCAACTGTCTGGTACTGTCCGCCTCCGCCCTCTCCAGCCAGTCGGGCCGCTGTCTGGTGCTCTCTGCCGTTCTGTCCAGCCGGTCGGGACGCTGTCCAGTGCTGTCCACCTCCGTCCTCTTCAGTCGGTCCAGCCGCTGTCCGGCGCTGTCCGCCTCCGCCCTCTGCAGCCGATGCGGCCGCTGTCCGGCCGCCGTCCGATGCTGTTCGCCGCCTTGTCCTGCTGCTGCCGAGCGGCTGCGGCCGGCCTCCCGGGTCCGGTGGACGAGCCCAGACCTGTTTTTCAATTACGGCGGCCGGCGGTGGCCGACTGAGAACCGGAGAGTCATCGGCGCGTGACAGCCTGATCCATCCGTGTGTTTGTTTCGCGTAATGAATAGTGCTGCTTTAATCACGTCGGTGGCGCTGGAGCTCGGCGGCGGTGGCCGGCGGCGGCCGGCCGGCCGGGCCTTCGCTGATGGGCGTCACGTGCTGCAGCTGCGTCCCAACGTCCCGAGCGTTGGCGGCCTGCCTGTCGGACGGACCGACACCGGCCGGTGGACCGAGCGAGACCCCCACCTCTGACCGAGCGAGACTCCCACCTCTGACCGAGCTGCTCTGCAGACGGTGGACGTGCAGCGGGCCGGCCGGCCGCGTCAGAGGGCGCGGTGCCGCCGCCAACCGCTGGCGGGCCGTACCGGACGCGCCCCCTCCCGCCGCGCAGCACGCCGCACTCAAACGGATCCAATCATCGTATATCGCTCGGCGTGGACGCTGCGAGCGGCCGGCCCGCTGCGTCGGTCGCTCGCAGCGCCGGGGCCCGCCAGCCGTCCTGGCCCGCCGTGCAAGACGTATGCAACTTCATTATGGCGGCGTCGGCGCCGGCCGCATTGCTCCCGGGTCAGCCGATGCCCCGTGGCCCGCTCCCACGTTATGACAATGCCCGTGTTAGATTGCACGTGGAGATATCGCCATCATCTGATGCCACGTGGTGACACCGCTGGGGGACCCAATCCCGCGTCTGCCTTTCTTCATCGACGGTGGTCTGAGCCATGCGGTGACATGGGCCGTGTCCGGAGCCCATGCGGTGAC